TCATTTTTTTTTTTGAGGAACCAGATTGTTTGACATCCACTTGTTTGACATCTAGGAAGTAGAAAGCATGCCAGATGGCAAAGGTTTTGCATAAAAGTCTTCCATGATACTTAACGTTAGAGTCTTTGAGAACCAGAAATTGACTCCCTCCTGAGGGCTCGGTCCTCTACCCAATGTGACTTTCACGTGTGTTCAAAGATGTAATATTTGCCAAGTGACGGGGTATATCATGTTCACATCTAAAAGGAACATTTTGTGTGTGTGTAAACGGCCCCTCCCTGGTGGACCTTTGTGACTGATGTGAGGAGAAGGGGAAGCAATAAATGTAAGGGCTGGCAGACGTCCAGAGTAAATAAAGACCAGGAGGGAAATGGAATGACTCCACTAACATCATGGTGAATGCAGGGAAAGGGGGGTGGGGGAGTCAAGCAAGAGAAAGTTAAGAGAGAAAAAAAAATATGCCTATCACCTAGCCAATCTCAAGTCTGATCATTTCAGTCTTGTGAAACGCTTGCTACTTACAGTCTTCTTCTGTGTTGTCTTTTATTTTTAAAACATTTCTATATTGATTTTATGAGCCCTGGATAATTTTTCACCGATTTTATTAAATAAAGGGTAAGAAAGTTTATCTGAAAATAAAGCCACATCTATGCAACTTTTTAAGATAACTCTTTTTGTGAAATGGGCTTTTGAAGACTGTGGAAATAATATCCAATTCTGAAGCAAAGCAGAACAAATAGAATGTGTAAGGGTGCTTGACTTAGCATAAATTTAAGAAGAAAGGGTTCAGAAAAGTGGAAGGATTTTTTTCTATGCAATATAAAGAATAAAACACCCACCAGTAAACTGGTAAGAAGTAATAATTAAAGGAGGGCATCAGTGACGGCGATAGGTAACCTTTAAATGATCATTTAGCAACTGTGTCAGTTCTCATTATAAAGCTCTCTATTCTCAGGCTTTCGTCCACTAAGTTTCAGAGAAATAGGATTACTTAGGTATATAATGCTATTGTGCTCCTTGCCGGGAGTTTGAATGCTAGTTTCAAGAGCCTTTGTTTGGCAAAAGAAAGCAGCTGCTCTCAACAGACAGTGATTTCTCATTTCCTGCAGAGTCTGTGCTCAATTTCAAGTTTGTAGATAAAATGTCCATTTCCACTTCTCAAGGTCATCTCTAAATTAGAAGACAGCACACAAAAGGACCTTGCGAGACCACATACAAATCACACTGCATGCTTACTCTTCTTTTCTGACATATTCAGACTGGTGGTACATGCTTTTAAAATGACAAATATCAACTTGAAGGGGGAGGGAAAGAGGTCAGTAAAGGAGCTAAAAGGGTAATGAGACTATACGCATATTACACGTATTTCCAAAAGGTTCATATAAACGTGGTGCAAATGAAGCACCGAAGAGTCTAGTCCAAGCAGAGGTATCTCAGCAGAGAGTTGTAGGAAACCATTCCTCCCCTTACCCTTCGCAAAAATAACATAGAAGTTCCTAATGAAAATAGCGATACCCTAACACCCAAGGAGTGGTCATGAACTGTAGTTGATCAGACAACAACGGGTGAGGAAGGAAGTGGGTTCTGCTCCCTGGGAATCCGCCCAGGGCCCAGACCGCCCGTGCATAAACAATCACGGGAAGACCTGGACTATTCTAGCACTGCTCTGTCTCATCGTCTTCCTCTGCTTTGTTCTTACAAGATCCTGCTAATTTGCTGTAACCTGGGAAAACCATGTCTCTGCACCCAGGAGCACAAAGATGAGAGATGTTTCACTAATTCGTCAAGGTCTTCTCTTTCTAACAGGGATTCTTTTTTATTGTAAAAGTAATACAAGCTCATTAGAGGGTATTTGGAAAACTACGGAAAAGAAAGAAAATACCAATTACCCGTAATACTTCTGCCTGAGATGACCATTTCGACTAATTTCCTTTCAATCATTGTTCTATGTATAGATTAATATGTTTCTAATAAAATTCAGATAGCAATATACATACATATTTATGAATTAAATTGATTTAATATTTATATATTAAATATATCTCTTTAATATTTAAAAGTTAAATATTATATCTTTATACATATTGTGTAATATACAATACATACATTTAAGTACTAAATATTTAATAGATTGCATTAAAATTTTTTGTGAATATAACTACTCTTTTTAAAAAAAATTGTATACTGGTTGTCAAGATCTTTTTTTCCCCTTGCTCAGTCTCCAGAATCTGTGTCTCCCGTTCTTCCTTTAACTTTAGGCTTCGTGTAAATGTGATTCCCCAAGCTCTTGTCTCCTCTGTGCATTTACTAGGCTTTCGTTTTATTGTGTTCTTGGGAATCTCAGAGTCTATACCGACAATGTAGGTGGCATACCTCACAGGGCATTGCTGTGCTAACCCAAACATGGTGGCCCTCTGGCAATTCATAACTGCGAGTGGCTCAGCAGAAGATAGGTAGGCCCCTGCCTTGCAATTAATAGCCCCAGAAAATCCACTGAAGAATCAGCTATGTGACAACAGAAGTGAGTTGAGTTGAGTTGAGTTGAGCTGAGCTGAGTTGAGTTGAGTTGAGTTGAGCTGAGTTGAGTTGAGTTGAGTTGCTTGAAGATGAGAGGCAACAGTTTATGGCCAGATGAGTTCAAAGGGCAAAGTGAGAGAAGCACTCCATTTTGGGAAACTAAGCTTCTGGTGGTCTAGGGATAAGGAGCTATAGTGCTAACCCAAAGTCATGTGGTTCTAATCTACAAAGTTTCTCCATGGGAGAAAGGTGGGCAGTCTCCTTCCATATGATACACAGCCTCTAATAACACACTAAAGCACCAGCTACGAGTCAGCTCTGACTCAAGGATACACAGCAACAACAACAAACTTTAATTGATTCTTAGACATCTACTATAGAGAAGGAATAATCACAAAGACCACAGAAGATAGAAAACAAATGGGTTTGGGTGAGACATCAGGATTGTTCTTAGAAATCCAGGAAGCAGCAGCATTTAGATTATTTTCAAGCTATAGGATAAAGTGAAATCAGAGAGAGAGAGATAGAATGAGAAGGCAAAAAAATTACAATCTATAACTTTGAATTACAAAGGATTAAAATCAAGTAAGGGCAAGGAGCCAGACTGATGTCAAAGTAGAAGTCAGTGAAATAGGAGGCCCACTAGGGGGATTTGCTAGCATAAAAGCCTACAGCAGAACATGTTCCAATAAAGAGAATGGACAACTAGGCCAAATGCAAATGAGAAAGAAAGATTAGCATAGAGAAGTGTTACTCTTTTTCACAAGCACAGGTTTTGTGAACCTTGAAAAGTTAATTTTATTTCTTGAAATGAATTGTATCTACTACTCTTTCCTATTAAATTCCATAACAAATCTAATGGTTCTTTAAAATTAAGGCGTAGGAGTGTATCATCTGAAGAATAAAATTGAGCTAGGAAATATTGACTATCAAAGAAATTGTTTTAATTATGGCATATTATATAAACTACAATTTGAAGCAGTATCACTAAGCCATGTGGCTTACAATATGTATTTCTGTTTCAAATGATTTCTACAAGGATAAAAAAGATAATTTTATATTCCCATATGCATTATAAATCTCTCTAATTGCTGATGGATCAGAACTGACTGACAGCTGGCCCTTTGGTGGGTTTTCAGAGGCTGTAAATTACACAGGAGGAGATACGCCTATCTTTCTCCAGTGGAGATACCAGTGGATTTGAACCACCAGAGAGGATGAGCTTTGGATTGACAGTATACCTCTCTGTCAACTATGCCACCAGAACTCCTTCATCATGAAAGAGAAGTCTATAAATCCAAAAATGAATTTGAATAATAAATAATTTTATGTGACAGTTAGAAATATCTTTCTGCAACTGAAAACATCTGTTCCCTCTCTCTCTCCAGGTATGGTGACATGGTGCCCAAAACCATAGCGGGGAAGATATTTGGCTCCATCTGTTCCCTAAGTGGAGTCTTGGTCATCGCACTACCTGTTCCCGTGATTGTCTCCAACTTCAGTCGGATCTACCACCAAAACCAACGAGCAGACAAACGGAGGGCACAGAAGGTGTGTGTTCGGGTCCTCTTAGCCAAGACTTAGCATTTCTCCTCTGGTTTATAATGAACCCTACAAATTCTTCCTGGTTGTTCAGCATTCGGGATTTGTTCAGTAGTTGCTTCAGCAAGGAAAAGCTTGAATTATAGTAAAAAGAAACTAACAACCTTAGTGTCTTAACTAAGTAACAGGTTCAGTAGTAAGTTAACAATGTATTTCTGTAATTCAAGGACAGATAAAATGTCATTCACGCTTCCTCCCAAGAGTGAAGTCACCCAATCTCTACCTCATTGGCCCAAAGATCTAGTCCCAATTTAAAAAAAAAAAAAAGGAAATGCTTTCCTACTATATGGTTGTTGTTGTTGTTGATTGGCCATCAAGCCTAGCACAATTTATAGTGACCCTATGAACAAAAAACCCGAAGCCTTTCTATAACTACTGTTTCTCCAGGTTCCATAGAGTTTCCAGAGGCATGTAGTTTAGGAAGTGGATGCCACTCCTGCTTCCAAACCTGTCTTAACCTGGGAGTTCCACCAAACACTGTCCACCATGGGCAGCTGTTAAGGCATTTGACTCTCAGTGGCAAAAGGTTCAGATTCATAGCAAACCCAGATTACCTCAGTACAGCAAATTGACAGAAGAGTGCCGTACAACTTCCAACATCACTATCTAACTTGAGAAGGACTTGAGAGCCTTATGCTAAATGGACTAACCCAGCCCCATAAGGACAAATACGGTATGAGACCATTATTATAGAACCTGTATGAGGACCGTGGGAGGTGGTGAGGAGAGGGGTGAGGATGGGAAGGAATGATTATTATGCTGAGTGAACTAAATTAGTCCCATAAGGACAAATACTGCATAAGAGCATTATTGTAGAAATAGAATGATAACTGGTAAAATGTGTATGAGGATCCAAGGAGGAGAGAGGGCTGAAGGTGAGCAGGGGAGAATTCATAAGGTTGTACAATTTGATGGAAGGAGGGAAGGAGGAAGGGAGGGAAGGAGGGATGAAGGAAATGGGATCTGGTGGATTGGGGTGGAGGAAAGTGAGCAGCATTAATGATAGTCATAAAATCAAAGCTAGAGTCTTAGAAAGGGTTACTCGGTATCTAAAACTGATTTACTTAGCCTCTGTCCACCTGAGGTCACCTGATTCAAGTAGATGAGGACTAGAAAGGGCAATTCACTCCGAGGCTTGAGCCAGCTAATTAGTTCGTACCAGAAAGACAAGTCCTTGTATAAAAAGACACTGTGCCTGGAAAAGTAGATTGTCAGCACAGGAGAGAAAGACTCTCAACAGATGGATTGATACAGTGATTGCAACAATGAGCTTAATTAAGTACAGCAGAGATGTTCCAGGACAAAGCAGCATTTTGTTCCCTTGAACACGAGTTGCTATGATTTGGAGCAGATTCAATGGAACTAACAATTGAGAGGAAGTATAATGATCACACACATCTATAAAATAAGGAGAAGAATACCTGGCTCACAGCAAGAGTACAATTAACTGTTAGTGCCTATGGATCTGCATTGCTGTCATTGTGTACAGTTGAGTTGTAACCAACACATAGTTGACCCTCTGGTGGGTTTTCTGAGGCAGTAAATCACAAAGGAGGAGATTGCCTATGTTTCTTTCACAGAGCAGCTGGTGGATTCAAACCATGTGCGTTTGGTGTGGCAGTCCAAATCCTTACCACTAAGTCACCAGCGTTCCTATGAAGCCACATAGAAGCACAGAGTTTGATGATATTAACAATAGGAACATTTAATCGTGCTAATGCGAAACCTATACTTGGACCAAGAGGCAGTCGTCAGAACAGAGCAGGGCAACACTGCGTGGTTCAAAACTGGGAAGGGTGTACGCCAGGGATGTGTTCTGTCTCCATACCTTTTCAACCTGTATGCAGAGCAGATTATCCGAGAGGCGGGGCTCTATGAGGAGAGGCGTGGCATTAGGATTGGTGGACGATCTATCCACAATCTGCATTATGCAGATGACACAACCTTGCTCCCTGAAACTGAGGAGGACCTCATGCACTTACTGCAGAGGGTTAAGGACTGCAGCCTTCAATATGGACTGAGGCTCAATGTCAAGAAGACAAAGATTCTCACCACTGGACCAATTGATAGCATCAGGATGGATGGCGAAGATATTGAGAGTGTTCACAGCTTCAGTTTGCTCGGCTCCACGGTCAACACTCTTGGCACCAGTAGCCAGGAAATAAAAAAACGTATTGCGATGGGAAAGTCTGCAGTTAGGGACCTCTCCAAAATACTCAAGAGCAACAGTGTCTCTCTGGAGACTAAGGTCCGCCTGATACAGGCCATGGTTTTTGCAATCACTTGTTATGCATCAGAGAGTTGGACAATGACTAGGGAGGATAGAAGGAGAATTGACGCCTTTGAGCTGTGGTGCTGGAGAAGAGTATTGAATGTACCATGGACTGCCAAGAAAACAAACAGATTCATCGTAGAGAGGATTAAACCAGGCTGCTCCTTGGAGGCAAGGATTCTGGGGCTTCGTCTGACATACTTTGGACATGTTGTAAGGAGAGACAGGTCTTTAGAGAGGGACATCATACTGGGTAGAGTAGAGGGACAGAGCAGGAGGGGAAGACCCTCTATGAGGTGGATTGGTTCAGTGACTGGGGTACTTGGGATGGGTGTGTCAGAGGCTATGAGATTGGCACAGGATAGAGCACGGTTTAGGGCTGTTGTACATAGGGTCGCTATGAGTCACAAACGACTCGACGGCACATAACAACAACAACAACTTTCAAACAATCAACAAAAACCCTGTGGCCACCTAGTTGGTGCTGACTCATGGTGAAGTTGTTTTTTAAGGTTTTCTTTGTGATGCCATTGGATGGGTTCAAACTGCTGACCTCTTGGGTAACAGTCAAGCAAAACCCATTTGCAAGTCACTGTGTCCCACAAGGAGCTATGTGCTGTTTACTGATGGCTTAGTGTTTTCCAGGTCACTAAGCAGGAGAACTAATATTTAATGCAAGTCAGCCTGGCTCCCAAGTTCACACAGTTGAACACTCCGCCAGGCTCTCTCTCTAGAAGTGTCCCAACGTTAGCACACTCCGTCCTTTACTGTCGCTCTCATTGGCAGTGTCCTCCTTGCTTGGAAATTATTTTTATAATCTTTTCTGTAGTCTCCTTGGGGCATATGATAGATACTCCCCCTAGCCCAGGAAACAAACCTAAATTATCTTCACATTTCTAGGTGGGTTCTTGGTGCACTTCCTTCAAATTGGTTCCAACTCATTCTGGACGTAGAACAAGGGCATGGCACACTGTCTGACCCTGCCCCATCCTCCTAAGTCCTGCCTTGCTCTGGTCACTGTTGTGGACACTGTGTTTGTCCACTTCGATGATGGTCTTCCTTCCCCACCCTCAATCTTCTGCTTGTCCAGGTACTACGTCTTTCTGTAGGGACTGGTTCCTCCTGGTAACAGGTCCAAAGTATGTGAGACAAAGTCACCTCAGCCTGCCTTATAACGAACATTCCGGCGAAAGTTCTTCCAAGAAAGATCTGTTTGCTCTTTCGACAGTTCATGGTACAGTCCGTATTTGTCCCTAACACCACATAGCCCATTAGAGCCCTTGTCTAGTAAACAAGAGGTCCTGGGTTTGAATCTCACTGATGCCTGGGATAGTGAAGTTGGTTCCTATTTCTAGTCTCATTTTGCCAGTGTGATTCCTAAACTATTCAGAAGTTAGCATGTCTAAGAACATGGAGAGTCCTGGTAACATAGTGTCTAGGGAGGTGTGAGTTAACCCAAAAGCAACTCCTCTCTGCTGGTTTGAATCCCTCAGAGGCTCCAGGAGAGAAAGATGAACACTATATCCTGTGCAATTTGTTGTTGGGGTGTTTTGGGGTGTTTTTTTTTAGATTTTGTTGTTGTTGATGCATATACTTTATTTTTTTATTTTATTATTATTATTAATTTTAATGAAAATTTACAGACTTTGGATTTCCATTCATTTATTGTTGCGCTTTTCTCCCTGCCCACCCCTCCCCCCCCCCAGTTCACTCTCCTCTTTGAAAAGTAAAAGAAAAATTCTTTCATTGTTATACAATCCCTTCCCCCAAGTCCACTCCACTATGCAGCCTTCACTCTGGACTCCTGTCATAGGCAATTTATTGTTTTATAACATCTATCCACAGTCAACACTCTTGGCACCAGCAGCCAGGAAATTAAAAGATGTGTTGTGAAGGGAAGGTCTGCGGTTAGAGACCTCTCTAAAGTGCTGAAGTGCAAAGATGCCAGTCTGGAGATTAAGGTGCGCTTGATACATACCACGGTCTTTGCAATCACTTGTTATGCATCAGAGAGTTGGACAATGACTAGGGATGATAGAAGGAGAATTGATGCCTTTGAGCTGTGGTGTTGGAGAAGAGTATTGAATGGACTGCTAGGAAAACAAATAGATTTGTTCTGGAGAGGGTGAAGCTGGGCTGCTCCTTGGAGGCAAGGATTCTGAAGCTTCATCTGACATGCTTTGGACATGTTGCAAGTAGAAACCAGTCCTTGGAGAAGAAGGTCAGGCCTGAGAGGGTAGAGGGACAGTGCAAGAGAGGAAGATCTTAGATGAGATGGATGATTCATTGACTAGGATAATGGGAATAGGTGTGTCAGAAATGGAGAGATTGACACAGGATAGGGCAGAGTTTAGGGCTGTTGTACATAGGGTCGCTATGAGTCGCAGGTGACTCAATGGCACATAACAACAACAACAACATCAAGTTGGAACCAACTTATAGCTGATCTCCCAACAGATTTTCAGAGGCAAGAGGTCCCTGGAAGGAGCTTCTCCATCACTCTCCCAATGAGAAGCTGGTGGATTTTCTCAGGAAAACATCCCCCAAACCAGGACACTGCCCTACTCTCTCCCATTTGTCCAGCAAAATTGTCACCTTGAGGGGCAGAGCTCTGAGTACTTAGAAATAATTGTAGAAATCTTTGTTGTAGTTTCCTTAAAGCTTATGATTCAGTATT